ATCAGAAAGGATGAATACCCAACTTTTACATCAACATGGATGGGACTGGAGGAGATTATGCTAAGTGAAATAAGTCAAGCAGAGAAAGTCAATTATCACATGGTTTCACTTATTTGTGGAACATAAGGAATAGCATGGAGGACATTAGAAGGAAGGGAAAAATGAAGAGGGGGGAATCAGAGGGAGAGATGAACCATGAGAGACTATGGACTCTGAGAACCAAACAGGTTTTAGAGGGGAGGGGGGAGGGGGGATTGGTTAGCCTGGTGATGGGTATTAAGGAGGGCACATATTGCATGGAGCACTAGGTGTTATATGAAAACAATGGATCATGGATCACCACATCAAAAACTAATGATGTATGGTGACTAACATAATAAAATTAAAAAAAATTTGTACTTTAATTATTTAGTTGCTTGTTTTATACTTGGTAGGGTATAAATACAAGGGAATTTTATTTTTTCTCACCACTTCTACTTCAAACACTTTCTGATGTTCTATTTGTCTCCATCTGTGGATAATATCTTGGGTCAATGTGGTAGCTTTTCTGATTACTTTTAGTATTAATACAGGGTCTCCTTTATCCAGATATTGGAAGTTCTAGTATAGTCTAAAAGCAAAATTTTAATTTTTTATCCAAATTAAAACTTATTCCTTAAGACTGGGTCTGACTCAGGCTTGATGTACTTCTTTTCCTCTACGTTTTTACTCCTCTTTGTCCACATGACTACACTGCCTCTGGTTACTATAGGTTTCAGGTGGGAGAAAAGTAAAGGTAAAAGGCTTTTCCTTGACTGGTATTGTTGCCCTATTATTTGACAGAAGTTTATATGTTGATTTTTCTCTCATAGAATACTTTCTTTTTTGGTGGTGGTGTGGGGAGCTCCCTAAACTGCAGTTCTTTGATGTAGGTAATGCTTCATTGGTTGACTACTTAGGACTTCTTTCATCCCTGGATTCTGGAGACCCACACCATATAGACTCACTTTTAGGGTTGCTTTAGTCTCCAAGTAGTGCTTTTGTGTAAAATCCCTTTCAAAATGGTCTAAGTTGGTTACTTTCCATGAGCCCTAACTAGGCTAAAGGTGAGTATTCTATATTTGCTGTATTACTGGTGGGAATTCAGTTTGCTCCTGTTATGGCCCATTTTCTTTGTGGGAATTGCATACTAACAACTCACCAAATATATTTTTCCTCATGGCTTACACCAAACTTCCAGCTTCCCCTTGTACACTGTTGATGAAAATAATGAGTAATGTGAAACTGAAGTTACAATCTCTTAGTGTAGCCAAAATTGATGTGTAGGGTTTCTGTCAAAATCCAATAAAAGGTGAAAGATTTATACGATCTGAAGAGAAACCAGAATATTCTGCCAAAAATCCAGGACAAAAGGCATTTTATGTGTTATGTGTCTTTTTAACAAAGCATTAGGCAGCCACAAAAGCAAATAACCAATTTGATTAATATCTCTTAACAAAGTTGTATGGAAAGAAATTGCATACTGAAAAAGTCTAAACCTTCCTGGAAGTAACTATTAAGATTTTTAAGAGTTATTTTTTTCTCTGTAAGGGGTGGCAATCTCTTTCCATGGAAACATGTTTATGAAACTAAAAGCACATCAGAATATGATCAAATACATGATGAATTTTGCTTTGCACCACAGGACCATCATGGTTATGAATAAAGACAAGTCTGTTTGGGTCGGGAGAAGAGGATTACTGTTCCACTTTCAGAAAGCGAATCATTGTTTTTCACAAAACCTATTCACAAAGGTTGGATGATTCTCATTCCACAAATGACCTGATGGAGGGCAACTTTCATGTCCTTGTTACGTAGGCTATAGATGAGGAGGTTTAAGACTGGTGTCACTACGGAGTATATCAGTGTGATGATCTTATGCATAGCAACTGAGCTGCCAGACGTGGGACTCACATACATCATTGCTACGGTTCCACAGAACACAGACACTACAACTAAATGGGATCCACAGGTAGAGAAGGCCTTTTGCTGCCCAACTGAAGAAGGAACCTGAAGCACAACTCTGAGCACCAGGGCATAGGACCCAAGAATGTACCAAATGGTGGTAATGATGATAAGAGAGCTCACAGAATGGAATACATGCTTTATGATGGGTGCAGGTGCACAGGACAATGCCATCAGTGGGTCCACATCGTACAGAAAGTGATCAGTAATGTTGGGACCACAAAAGGGTAGTTGAGAAATGAAGAAAATAGTAATTGCATGTCCAAGGAAACCAATGAGCCAAAAAAGAGACACCAGAATGACACAGAGCTGCCTGGTCATAATGGAGGGATAGTGTAGTGGACGGCAGATGGCCAGGTACCAATCATAGGCCATGACACAGAGGAAGAAGCACTCAGTTGTTCCCAGGGAAAAGAAGAAGTAGAATTGAGTGAAACAACCGGAGAATGATATGATCTTGGTTTTTGAAAGAAAATTGACCAGTATGTTGGGGACTGTGCAAGTCACATACCAGATTTCTAGGAAGGAGAAGTTGGCCAGGAGCACATACATAGGGGTATGGAGTCGACGGTCCCACCTCACTGCACAAATGATGGCTATATTCCCAGTTAGAGTCAGGATATAGATCAACAAAATCATTGAGAAGAGGATGATCTGTATTTTCCAGGGACCAGGAAAACCCAACAAGATGAACTCTGTCACAGTAGATATCCCTGACTTATTCATGGTCTCCAGACTGTGGAGAGAAGACAGATAGATAGCGACAAGTCACTTTGCTGCTGAAACATTGGAAAGTGTTCTTAGGTAGTTTGAGTGATCAGGCAAATGTATTAAAAATCCTAAAACAAGTCTTGAATAAATCCTGCTCTCTTCTGAGTGAGCCATTTGGCCCTGATTCTTTGTAAATGTACAATTCTAGGCTGCGTGAACTCATTGTCAGTGGACAAAATCAGTTAAATTTCACCTTTTTTAAAAAAAATTTTTATTGTTAATCACCATACATTACATCATTAGTTTTTGATGTAGTGTTCCATGATTCATTGTTTGTGCATAATACCCAGTGCTCCACGCAGAACGTGCC